GTACAAGAGAGATCCATCTATGACCCCCCCCCCCCTGTGATGGCTCCTGGATGTTCGGCTTCATGCTGGGCCTCGAACGAGACTGGCAGAACATCCAGGAGCTCAACTGGGTCCTCGGAGATACCTCTGGCCCAGAGTGACTCGAAGCCTGGGAGCGGGTTTGCTCCTCTGTGCTGCGCGTGCCTGCCACCTACACGCCTGCGCATCGCATCGCGCGCGCTGCATGCATGCGTGCGGTGCAAGTCCGTTCCTGCAGCGCTCATGCATGCCTGGCACTGGTCGGTCGTCGCACGACCAGCCTTAAATATTCTCTCTTGGGGCCGCGTGCCTCCCGCAAACAAGGTTCGGGCCCGCGCGCGGTGCTCAGCAGTCCACTTTTCGGACAGGGGCCTGCGGAGCAACATGCTAATCGGCTCCAGAAAGACGCTCTTAGAGACATTCACCTCGGGACCCCAACGCGCAAGCCAGCCGCTCTGAAGCCCAGAATGTGTGGCCTGGCGCACGAGGGAGTGGAGGTAGTACAAATCAATCTGAGCCAAATCATGCACCTCTGTCCCGCATGTGACTGTAGCTGGACTCTGGGTGCTCCAACCGAGGCGAATTACAGTTGCAATGAAAGCGCCTGCTGGTCCTCTCACTAGGCCCCACGGCCTCGGATGCCCGTGGAGTCGCATGACCCACGTGCGCCAGCTCGACACCAGGAGGTCCCGCGTGGCCATGTCCGTCGCCTCCTGCCACGCCCTGGCCCACTCCGCGACGGGCCCCGCGTTGGCGACCGCGGCAGGGTCCGCGTCCTCCGCCAGCAGCACCAGCGCGGCCGACCTTTCCTTGTTGCATCCAGGGAAGGCCGCTGCCACAGTCTGCCTGAGCGTGGTGATCAGCGTGTCCGTGGCGCCCTGCACGCGCGTGCCGTAGAGCTCCGACGGCGCGATCCCGAGCCTGATCACCTTCTGCGCTGCACCTCCTGCGGCCTTGACCCGCTGGATCTTCCAGCTCCTGGCCTTGGCCTTGATGGTCCTCTTGGACTGGGCTCCGACACGTCGTCGCCGCGCAGCTGATTGGGTCGCGCCCACGTGCGCGGCTTCACGCACCACCTGAATGCCCATCTGCTTGTTCTGGCTGCCTAGCTGCCGCTCCACCTTGCCATGCGAGACTGCGACTACGGTCTTGCCGTCCCTGCCTCTCGAGACCTGAAACTTGAGCACCTGCTCGAGGGCGAAGGCGATCTCGTCAGTCAGCTTCCTGTGGAGCGCTGCCACGGCGGTCACGTCGCCCCTGGTCGACGCCGCGAGGTCGTCGAAGTAGAGGCACATGTCGGCCCTCGGGTTCGCTATATAGAGGTCGTCGATAGCGGCGGTGAGCACGAGGGACAAACACAATGGGCCGAACACGGATCCTGCCACGATCCCTTGCGCCCAGAAGCTGCCCTCGGTGTAACACCCATTCAGCACCACTCTCCTCATCACAGAAAATACTTTCAAACTGACACGCAGCAGGGGCCTTGGGAATCCCCGGCGCAGGCCACCGCTCCAAACGAGAGAATGCAGCACGGTCTCGTAGCACTTCCTCAAGTCGTAATATGCGGTGGCGATGGCTTCGCCCTGCGCCAACGACCCTTCAGCTAGGAGGCCTTGCATCCAGGCCGCTCGTTCAGCAGACCTGCCCTTCACAACCCAATCATATGCTCGTGGGTTTCGGCTTTGCCATTTCTGGATCTCGGGGCGCCGGATCTTCTCCCATACTCGTGCGAGCTCTGGTAAAAGCCCCAAATTCCTCATGCCGCCCTTGGGCTTGGGCTGAAGCCAAAAAATGATACACTGCTGCGAGACGGGCCAGTCGGATCCGCGCTCGATGCAGTTCAGGATGCTCGCCAGGCCTGCGAGGCCAACAGCTGGCCCTTGGGCCCGCGGCCTGGGGTGGATGTTGGACTCGCCCAGGCCCGTCTTGGGGGAGAAAGCCTGGCAGACGTGCAGCACGTGGTGGCCGAGGATAGGCGGTAGCATGGGCTCGTCTACCGCAGGCGGCTCAAACCATGTGCGCAGCCCGGTCCCTGGTAACGCCATATGCTCTCCCACTCCTGCAACGCTGTGTTGGCGGCTGTCTGCGGGTCCATCATGGCGACGTGCTGGGGCGTCTCACCCGCAGTGACAGTCTGTGGAGGCTCACCGAGTCTGGGTTTTGCCTCCCTCGTATTCTGTGGTACCAAGGGCTCCCACTGGACCTTCGGCTTGGCCCACTCGTGCAAGGCCCCCGCGGACTTCTCGCTATGGTTGCGAACCCGTGCCCGCCAGGCCTTGGTGGCCTCCTTGACCTCGCTCTGCCTCGCCTCTTCGGCCTCGCTCGCCGCGGCCTGCTGCCAGTACTTGAGGTACTCCAGGCTCTCTGTCATCCCCTGCTGCTCCTTCGTGCATTCCAGGGTGGTCTCGAGGACGTGGGGCCACGGGGTCTTCAGTTCCTCTCCGTGCTGGTGGAGTTGTGCGAGGGCCCACTGCTGGGTCATCGCCTCCTTGATGGACTTGATGTGGCTCGCCTCCTGGCCGCCTGCCTCGCGCGAGTCGCTGCTGAGGCTGTGGGCCAGGTCCCGCAGGATACTCGCCACCCATTCTGTTGCCGCAGTTCGCGCCGTCGGGGCTCCCTTGCCCCTGACCGTCGGGGGCGCTAGCTCTCGCATCTTGTAGACAGCCTTTTCGCCATGCCCACTGTGGGCCAGCAGCTCGTCGCCGTCAAAGCAGTGATATCTGTTCCAGTGCATCTCGTAGGCGTGCATGAGATCGCGCCAGAAAGCGTTCCGAGTCTCGTGGTCGACGCGCCCCCTACGGAGAGGACGTGGCCACTGCGCTGGTGGGGTAGGGCACCCTGTTGGCACAGTCAAAGGCCACGGTGCCTTCTGTATGAGCTGGAGGGCTTGTGGCACAGGCGATCGGCGTCCTATCTTCATCATGATGGGCCTATGGGGCTTGGCCGCAAAAGCCGCCATGACTTCCGCTCGAAGCCCATTCTCCAGCAAGCTCTCCGAAATGATAAAGTAGTCCCTGACCGAGTAGTTGCCCGTGCTTCCCCTGCACGTGCCTTCACTCATGTCGTAGACCAGGTGCCCCTTCAGCTTGGCGATGATACCCGTGCTCATCAGCTCGTGAGGCTCCATGTTGAAGTCGCCGCCGAGCGCCCACGGTTGGCCTGGCGCGGCCATGAGCGCACCGAAGCGGCTGAGTATTGTGAGATTGCGGTTCGCGGGCCCTTCTGCCGCCCAGAGGTGCGCAGAGCCCGCCGCGATGCCGTGCTTGCGGCATGTCTTGACGTAGTCCACACAGAGCCTCCCTGGTGACTCCTTGGGCGATGCGTCCCACTTCATCAGCTCGGGCAGGTAGGTAATCCCCATGCGGCTTGGCACCGCGATCATCGCCCCCGCCCTCATGCCTTGCTTGGTGGGCGCACTAGGCACCGCTGCCGCCTTCCAGCCATGTTTGATGAGCCTGGCCGACAGCAACTCTACTTGCTTGGGCGCCAACTGTAGCTCCTGGCCTAAGACGACTGGGGCCTCGACCTGGTAGCACAGCTGGAGCAAAACCTTCTCGAACTGGTTCGCGGTGTTCGCATTGCATGTGATGAACACCTGCTTCTCTGCCCTGGTACTTGCACACTGCTCTGGTGAGTCACTAGGAACGCGACAGGCTCGACTTCCGCATTGCAAAGTGGAAACCATCAGCCATGTCAACAAGAATCGTATGCAACATCGGCCCATGCTTCTGGATCTCCTCATCCTTGACACCGGCCTGCTTGAGGGCTGTCGTGATCTCCTGGGGGCTTGCTTTGGCCTTGAGCTTGAGGACGTCCTCGCTCTGCTCCTCGGGGCCGATGCAAGCGCGCCTCTTGTGGCGTGGTGCGTCGCCGCTGAGGCTGTCCCCGTCTTCATCCATCGGCACGGCCATCTTCTCCGCAGCGCTCGTCTTCTTCTTCGCCGCGAGTGCGAGGGCCGCTTCCAACTGCTTGATGACCTCCGCATCCTGCTCCTCGCCGTCGGCCCCCAGGGGCGTCTTGGCGAGCTCCAGGTGCGCGCAGACCGAGTCCCAGCCCTTGGAGGTGGGGGGCCTGGCGAGCGCCTTCTCCTTGGCACGGAGGGACTCGACCTTCTTATTAGCCTGCTCGGCCTTGTTCTCCGCGGTGCGCAGCTGAGTCTGGATGTCCTCGGACTGCTGCTTGAGCTTTGCCACATGGGCATCAGCCTTCGACTGTGATTTCACTGCTCCACGGAAACGGCGGCGCACTGCCACTTCCTCGTAGCATGCTGGTAGCGTTGCTTCCTTTTGTGCCTGCAGCCCGTCGATCTGTTCCTGCAACTTCGACGTGGCATCCGATGCGAACTCCATGCCTGGCTCCTGCGCGAGCTGTTCGAGATCCTTGAGGCGGGCCCTGTAGATCTCCAGCTTCTTCGCGATGCCCGACGTGGTCTCGTTGGAGGCGTCGCCATCGGCATCCTGGTGTGTGTCCTTCGGTCCGTCGCCCTGCCCGTCTCTCTTCGGCGCCTGCCGAGGCTTGTTGCACCAGTAGCATACTTTCGTCCTTCCCCAACAATCGTCCGTGTGGGACACTGAGCAGGTCCACGCATCGCCAGACTTGGGGGGCATCTGGGTGCTCGGGGCGGCGGTGCCACTGCCAAGTTTGCCGCACCCTGCGACGCGAGAAATCTCCTGGCACCTGGAAATCCTCGAGTCGGGCAATGGCTAGGAGGAGGAGGGGAGGAGGAGGAGGAGGAGGAGGGGAGGAGGAGGAGGAGGAGGAGGACAAGGAGGAGGACGAGGAGGAGGAGGAAGAGGAGGAGGAGGAAGACGAGGAGAAGGAAGAAAAAGTGGAGGTGGAGGAGGACGAGGAGAAAGAGGAGGAGGAGGAGGAGGAGGAGGAAGAAGGTGCAGGAGGAGGGGGAGGACGCTCGATCGTCGAAGGAGTCCCAAAACCTCGAACCTCCTCCTCGAACCTCGACCAGACTCCCAGCCTCGGAGCTC